CCAAATCCTATTTCCGTACCGTCTTTGCTTGACGCACCACTTGGATCACACCACATATAGTCCTTTTCCATTTCCTTCGGACGGGGAAATAAGTCAGTGTGATGAAGTTCTGGATCAAGCTTTCAACTTTTCAGCCAAATCCTATTACCGTATTGTTCTTGCTTTATGCACCACTTGGATCACACCAGATATCGTCCTTTTCCATTTCTGAATGCTGCCGTTCCCTTTCTTTTCCTGGGAAAGGAACGAGACACCGTGAATGTTCAACCTGTTGCCGCCAAGCTCTGATATATGTATAGACAGACTCTTGAAGTTTACAGCAGCTCAGACAGGCCTCACGGCCGCCTCTTTGCTCCGGTGCTCTGCGTCGTTTCTCTTTCCGCCAGGTGTGATGACAAGGCCTTAAACCCCCTGGACCCCCGTTTCCCAGACCCCACAATGGTCCCAGTGTACAGAGTCGGCCTTTGTGTAATCCCTGGCTTAGGCAGCCAGGAGCCTGTTTCGCCTTTTCTCTTCCGCTTCCAACAATACCAGAAGTTGCTTTTTCAGTACTTCAGAAATACTTGAGCTTTGATATTTTGTAAGTATTTAATTTTGTACAAATAATTACCATCGGAACTCGGAACAACAGCGACCGGGACCTACTTTTGCTCTTGTTTACATTACAATACAAGGAAACCTCATTGGCAGGAATGGCGTTTGCTTCTGGTGCGTCAGCAAGGAATCGATCTGGATCCTGGATGTCGCATTTCTGGGATACAGAGGTGAATCCCGATCTGTTGTTTGGTGCAAGCAAAGGCAATCTGGGTTTAGAGAGAGCCAAGGAAGCCAGAGGGCATTGGAAATCCCTTCTGGCATTAAAGGATTTGAGGGAGTGAATCTGGAATGGCCTGGTGTTGAAAACAGATTGAGGGGAAACAGCAGTTCCTCTTTGCATGGGTTTGCTCAGAGGATGTTGTCAACAGATGAAACAGAATATCGTACAATGGGTTCGTCCTGGTTGCGTTCCGGAGTGGGAATGCACCGCTTTCAGGTACAGAAGCATATCCTGCAATCCTTGAGGTGGGATGAGGTTTCCTGTGTCTGAATGGAGGAAGGCTCCAATCTGTTCAAAGGTCTTCCATGATCTCAACTCAGACGAAGGAACACAACCAAGGAGATGCCCAGGCATCTCCGTCATGCACTCGGATTAAGGAGGCATTGTATAAGATGGTGGCTTTGTCTGCTGGTTGAGCAGAATTGCACTGCTTCTTTTTTGAAATAATAATAATAATAATAATAACAATCACTGGTGCTAAAACAGCCTTTTCTGCGTAATGGTCCATCAACCAAGTTGGACTTGTTTACTTGTTCCGCGTCATTTCGGTCTGTGGCTCCGCATCTCCCTCCGAGCGCCGTCACGTCCCGTTTTTCCTTTTGCGGGACTTTCCATCCCACTACAAATCCCAGAATCCCTCAGCGGGGTCGGTCTCGGATACTGATGGGCATTAGGGTTTGCAAGGGGGATATTTCTGGTTGACCCGTCGTCCCGTACGGGCATGGAAGCCACCATCGCCGTCCAATCTCTCTTTGAGTCATTGGGATTCACTGGTTGGGATGAGGAAGGCGGTCGATCTCAAGCCTTCTTGGTTTTGCTTTTATGACACTGTATTTGAGGCCGCAAAGTGTGGATGGGCAACGGAGGCAAGGCCAAGAGCAGCTTTTATGGCTTGCATCAAAGCCTATTTACTGAAACAAAGCAAAATAACAACAACAAAACAAAACAAAAAAGCCTCCGTGGAGCCAGAGGTTATATTTATGGCGCGCGTGGGAGATGTTGTTTCCTTTGGCGTCTAAACCATTCGCCATTGTTTTGGCCAGGGATGCCATCAGGGCCCTGCCCTTTGCCCATCCACAACTTCAAACCCGCAAAGGGCTCTGATAGTCTTAAATAACCCCCCTTTTCAACATGGTGCTGAAATCTTTGTTGACTTTTCAATATGAATTTCTAGTGTGTACACCATTTGCCAAGGGTTTTTTGAAGCTCCGTCCATCCCGTTGCCTCGTTTTTGGGGCTTCCTTTGTCGTAGGAAACCTGTATCCAATCCTTGGAAGCCGGGGCTCCCCTTCGGGGATCTTCATCGCCTTCTCTCTCTTTCCCTCTCCCGTTGGGAAACATACAATATACATAGAATAATAAACAAAGACCCAGGGAGATGGAAGGAGAGAGAAGCCCGGAAATGGTAACCCAAACAGAGAGAACGTAAAAGGAAAAGAAGAAAGACAGAGAAGGAAGAGACAACTAGTTAGACTCAGTGTCCGAGTTCGGAGGCATCTAGCTCAAAAGAGAAGAAGAAGATTTTTAAAAAGTTAAAGTTAAAAAAAGAGAATTAATGATGTTGCACAACTTGTAGGAAAACAAAGAAGGGAAAGGGTTATTGTATTAAATGTGCTAAATTACATTAAGAACTTAATTTTATTAAAGTATTATTACTTAAGTCTCGTGTGGTGTCTTGGCTTTGACTCGTCCTTGGGGAAGTCGCCCTTTCCACCTCCATTTCCTGCCCCAACTTTTTCTGTTCTTCCCAACCCACCAAAACGGAGCCGACGTGAGCGCAAATCCCCTCCGGTCTGTCAGGGACGATCCCAGTTGGCTCGGAGTTGAGATCCCTTTTCCTGACGCTTTTGGAAGGCCCTTCTCGGGGATTCCATGACTTTTGCTGGGAAACTTCAGTGAAGAAGAGAGAACCCACCACTCGGAGCTCACTCCACGCACACCATTGAGGGACAGCATAAATGTCATTGAGAAACAGCATGACATCTATATACATAAACATGTCATGTTCGTTTGTGGGATCAACAGAACTCAAAAACCACTGGACGAACTGACCTGAAATTTGGACACTATACCCCTAACAGACCAACAAGTGACCATCACTCATAACCCACCCCCAAAACAGGTTTTCCCCTGACATTAAGTCCAGTCGTGTCCAACTCTGGGGGTTGCTGCTCCAAAAAGCTAAACGACGAAAAGCTAAATGATGATACAGAAAAAAGAGAAGGTAGAGGTGTGAAAGAAGGGGAGAAAGAAAGAAAGAAAGAGGGAGGAGTGCTGTTACCTTCCCGCCAGGGTGGTACCTATTGATCTACTCACATTTGCATGTTTTCGAACTGCTAGGTTGGCAGAAGCTGGAGCTAACAGCGGGAGCTCACCCTGCTCTCCAGATTTGAACCGGTGACCTGTCATTCAGCAACCTCAGCGGTTTAACCCACTGTGCCACCAGGGGCTCTACTACTATTACTACTACTAGTAGAAAGGTAAAGGTAGTCCCCTGACATTAAGTCCAGTCATGTCTGACTCTGGGGTGTGGTGCTCATCTCCATTTCTAAGCCGAAGAGCCAGCGTTGTCCGTAGACACCTCCAAGGTCATGTGGCCGGCATGACTGCATGGAGCGCCGTTACCTTCCCGCCGGAGCGGTACCTATTGATCAACTCACATTTGCATGTTTTCGAACTGCTAGGTTGGCAGAAGCTAGGGCTGACAGCGGAAGCTCACGCCGCTCCCCGGAATTGAACCTGCGACCTTTCGATCAACAAGGTCAGCAGCTCAGTGCTTTAACCCACTGAGCCACCGGGGGCTAGTAGTAGTAGTAATAATAATAATACATCAAGAAGTCTAGAGCAGTCCTGATCAATCAGAATAATAACAATAACAGATACATAACTGTTTTGAGTCTCCTTTGAGAGGGAAGAAGTGGGATGTAAAATACTACTACTAGTACCACTACTACTATTACTAATAATAATACACCAAGAAGTCCAGAGCAGTCCTGATCAATAAGAATAATAACAATAATAATAGATACATAGCTGCTTTGAGTCTCCTTTGAGAGAGAAAAAGTGGGATATAAAAATACTACCACTACTACTAATAATAATACACCAAGAAGTCCAGAGCAATCCTGATCAATAATAATAATAATAATCGATACCTAGCCACTTTGAGTCTCCTTTGAGAGGGAAGAAGTGGGATGTAAAATACTACTACTACTACTACTGCTAATAATAATAATAATAATACACCACGAAGTCCAGAGCAATCCTGATCAATAACAACAACAATAATGGTTTCTTTTCTAGGCTAGGTATTCCATATTGTATGGTTTTTAGTGTCAGCCACTTTGAGTTTTCTTTGAGAGGGAAGAAGTGGGATGGGAATACAGATTAATAATAATAATAATAATGGTAGTAATAATAATAATAATAATAATGACTTAGATATCCCCACGCTCAAGTGCCCACCCAGCCATGGAACCCCACAGGGCACCCTTGGGGAAGTCACATCCTCTCAGCCTCAGAGGAAGCCACGTCTGAACAAACCCGTAAACTCGAGGAGGAGCGGTGTTTGGTTGAACCTGTTGAACTGGTCCTCATCTGGTTGCTCAGCTGAGCTGAGCTGAGCACATCTTCCGGGAAAGCCTTGCTCTGGCTGACCTCCCCTTGTAAATATAGCCGGGTGACGCTGAGGATGATGACAGGGTGAGGATGATGAAGAAGCCGGAGAGGCTGACTCAGTGCAACTGCGGGAAGGGAGAAGCCAAAGCACGGAGAAGGGGAGCCCTCCAGGGAGGACTGTGGGAAGGATTGCACGGCCTCCTTGATGAGGCTGGTGGACCACATTTCCTACCACTCCTGGCTATTCCGTATCTCCAGGATCTGGATCAAGAAACCTTGGCACTGAGGCTGGGACTCTGAGCAGATCTCGGAGGAGAAGCCTGGGTAGTATTTGATCCCAAGGGCAGCAAGACCCCAAAATGGAGGGGATGCAAATGACGGGGTGGTCGACACTACACAGGTATTGGGGGCATTTCAGAGCAATTTAGGATTCCATTGGACGCTCTTCTGCCTGAATGTTTGGCAAGTCACCACCGGTTTTGTCACCCAGGTGCCCAACGAGGGCAAGGAAAGGCCTCCTGTCCCACCTCCCACCCCATAGAGGAGCAGCAAATATGCATCTGTGTTCCTGTAATCCATTTATTGGTGCACACCGCAAGCCGGCAAAAGGAGGTTCCCGACAAGGAAGCAGAGCTGCCTTCCAAAAGCCTCCTCTCCCCATCACCCCCCATTCCCCACCGGATTGGCTCCGGTACCACTTCCCCCAAACATCGAGGGAAGCAGCAAAAAGATGCTGGGAGGGGGAAAGAGACATCAGTTGAAGGAGTTGAGAGTCGGGCCTGGGCCCCCCAAAGAGGAGCATTTTCTGCTTGAAGATGGGAAACACAAGGCACCCCGAAGACCCTTTCAGGCCTAAGAATGGCAAAAGGAAGAAAACAGAGGGAGGGTTCCTCTGGGGCCAAAGATTGCCTCATTGTCCGTTCCGGGGAGCAGTCAGATGTTCTGACAGCAGGGTGTTTGCCTCCCTTCCTGCTGGGTGGGCAGGACTCTGATGGGCTCGATGGCGGTGCTGCCGCTGGGGCTGAACTCCGCCTCCGGGGTGCCGCCGGACATCTGCCGCTGGGACACGATCCGGTAAATCTCTGCAGGACGGAAGAAGAGACAGAGCGTCACGGCCATCATCCCATGGAAGGGGCTGCAGGTCCCATTAGCCAGCCTGGCCGAGCCTCTGGGATGCCGTCCTCAATGGACTCTCGGGCAAAAGGATGGCGTTCAAGGAGTGCACCGTAAAGCTATTCGCAGATGATGTGATGATAGTCTTGCAAGACCCTTTGCTCTTCCAGAATATAGGGAAGTGCCAGGGGTCAAAACAAACCAACGGAGATAATGTATGATGAGGAACACAGTTGAGGAGCATCTCGAGAAGCCCCTGACTTCCAACCCCTGGGCCAAATCTAGTAGTAGTAGCAGTAGTAGTACTGGGCAACTCATGGGATTACCTGAACTTTATTTGAAAATATTTCATTATCACAAACCTCTTTGGGACTAAAGAGGGACATTCGTGATGATGTCAACTGACCTGTGAGAATGTTCTGGAAGGCTGTCTCCACGTTGGTGGAATCCAGCGCCGAGGTCTCAATGAAAGCCAAGCCATTCTTTTCTGGAGCAGGAGGAGGGAGAGAGGAAGGAAGGAAGGAAGGAAGGAAGGAAGGAAGGAAGGAAGGAAGGAGAGAAGAAAGGAAAGTATGGAAAGAGGGAGGGAAGGAAGGGGAGGCAAAGGTGGGGGGGGAGGAAGGATGGAAGAAGGGAGAGAAGAGGGAGGAAGGGAAGGAGGGAATGAAAAAGAAGGAAAGGAAGGATGGATGGATGGATGGATGGATGGATGGATGGATGGATGGATGGATAGAGGGAGGGAGGGAGGGAAAGAAAGGAGGAAGGAAACGGATGGATGGATGGATGGAAAGGAAGGAAGGAAGGAAGGAAGGAAGGAAGGAAGGAAGGAAGGAAGGAAGGAAGGAAGGAGAGAAAGAAAAGAAAGAAAGAGGGAGAGAGAGAGGGAGAGGAAGGAAGTAGAAATGGAAGGAAAGTATGGAAGGATGGAAGGAAGGAAAGAAAGAAAGGAGGAAGGAAACGGATGGATGGATGGGAAGGGAGGAAAGAAAGAAAGAAAGAAAGGGAGAGGAAGGAAGGAAGTAGGAATTGAAGGATGGATGGATGGAAGGAAAGGAGAGATGGAAAGGGAGGGAGGGAAAGAATGAGAGAAGAGGGAGGAAGGGAAGGAGGAAATGAAAAAGAAGGAATGGAAGGATGGATGGATGGAAGGAAAAAAAGAAAGAAGAAAGAGAGAGAGGAAGGAAGGAAGGAGGTAGGGATGGAAGGAAAGAATGGAAGGAGGGACGAAGGGAAGGAAAGGAGGGACAGAAAGGGAGGAAGTAGGGAGAGAAGAGAGAGGAAGGAAAGGAGGGAATGAAAAGGAAGGAATGGATGGGTGGAAGGAAGGAAGGAAGGAAAAAGAGAAGAAAGGAAGGAAATGATGGATGGAAAAGAAAAGGAAGGAAGGAAGGAAATGATGGATGGATGAATCGAAGGAAAGAAAAAGAGGGAGAGAAAAAAAAGAGAAGGGAGGAAGGTCGGTCGGTCAGTCAGGCCCTCAGGGCTGATTCCCAACCAAGCTGTGCCCCGCTGTCCTTGGCACGAGGCCGAAGTCCACTGGGGAGCGCCCACTGCAGGGAGCCCTGCGAGGAGGCGGCTGTGGAGATGGGGTTCAGTGGGGCGAGGGTGGGGGGTCCCTACCGGCGAATGCCTTGGCCTGGTCGGTGGGCACGGCCCGGAGGTGCCGCAGGTCGCTCTTGTTGCCCACCAGCATGATGACGATGTTGGCGTCGGCGTGGTCCTGCAGCTCCTTCAGCCAGCGCTCCGCGTTCTCGTAGGTCAGGTACTTGGCGATGTCGTAGGTCAGGAGGGCGCCCACCGCCCCACGGTAGTACCTGCCCAGGTAGGGAGACCACATTAGCATGGCCACAACATGGGGCACAACAGCCACAACACCGCGGCCGGCCCTCTCCTTCCATAGGCTTTGGAAGGAAAACACTCTGCAAAATGAAGAGTCCGTGCGGGGAAGACTGGCCGTAATGTGACCCCAGGATACTGCCATTGGGAATTCAGCCTACACAATGGGGACATTGCCCATTATGGACCCCATAACGCACACATTCGTGACTCTTCTCTCCGCCTGAACGGTAAAGAATCGACGCAGGATGAAGGCTGTCCTTTGGGACTCTCGACCTTCATGAGCCTCAGGCCCTTCTGTGGCTTCTCTCTTCTCTTCTAAGACCAACCTGCACAACGTTAAGGCCTCTCGGGGCCACGCACGACCCGGAATGACCCTGCCCCTGCGGCCTGGGGACTCTGCATATGCCCAGGGACCGAGATGCACACATTCGTGAATCTTCCCTCAGCCTGAACTTTGAAGAATTTACGCAGGATGAAGGCTGTCCTTTGGGACTCTCGACCTTCATGAGCCCCAGGCCCTTCTGTGGGTTCTCTCTTCTCTTCTAAGACCAACCTGCACAACGTTAAGGCCTCTTGGGGTCATGCACGACCCAGAATGACCCTGCCCCAGCAGCCTGGGGACTCTGCACATGCCCAGGGGCCGAGAAAAAGAAATGAATAATAGAATCTACGCAAGATGAAGGCTGTCCTTTGGGACTCTCGACCTTCATGAACCTCAGTCCCTTCTGTGGGTTCTCTCTCTTGTTGTAAGACCAGCCTGCACAACGTTAAGGCCTCTCGGGGCCACGCACGACCCAGAATGACCCTGCCCCAGCGGCCTGGGGACTCTGCACATGCCCAGGGGCTGAGGAAAAGAAAGAAATAATAGAATCTCCACAGGATGAAGGCTGTCCTTTGGGACTCTCAACCTTCATGAACCTCAGTCCCTTCTGTGGGTTCTCTCTTTTGTTCTAAGACCCACGCATGAGACATTAAGGCCTCTCAGGGCCACACATGACTCAGAATGACCCTGCCCCTATGGACTGGGGACTCTGCACATGCCCAGGGGTCGAGAAAAAGAAAGAAATAATAGAATCTCTGCAGGATGAAGGCTGTCCTTTGGGACTCTCAACCTTCATGAGCCTCAGGCCTTTCTGTGGGTTCTCTCTTCCCTTCTAAGACCAACCTGCACAACGTTAAGGCCTCTCGGGGTCACGCACAACCCAGAATGACCCCGGGGACTCTGCACATGCCCAGAGGCCATCTCTCTCCCTTACGCGGAAGTGATGGCGCGGTAGCGCTCCTGCCCGGCGGTGTCCCAGATCTGGGCCTTGACCGTCTTGCCGTCCACCTGGATGCTGCGGGTGGCGAACTCCACCCCGATGGTGCTCTTGCTCTCCAGGTTGAACTCGTTGCGGGTGAAGCGGGACAAGAGGTTGCTCTTCCCCACCCCGGAGTCCCCAATCAGCACGACTGTCAACAACAACAACAACAACATCAACAACAATAGTTGACTACCCAAAGAGTACGACTGGGGCATCGAGGAGGAACGCATCGTTGTCTGGAAGCCCTGCCTCTCCCCGAATCCCCAGGATAAGCCCAGCCGGCCAAAGCAACGCATGGAGTGAATATTAGAGCTCAAAGGGGGGGCCCAAGAGGCCATCTAGTCCAACCCAATCTCACCTTGGCTATGGACCTTCCATTTGGGAAGACTCAGGTCAGGCCTACCTGCCCTAGGAATGGACCTGCGAGGCTGAGGGTTGGACTAGATGGCCTTTGGGGGCCCCTTCCAAAGGTGAGAAAGCATCTTGCTTACTTTTGAACAGGTAATCGTACTCGTCGTCCTTGCCTCGCATCCTGCCTTGAAGCCGGTCTGAATTCTTGCCCGAAAAGAGAGAGGAAAATGCCCCCTTTCCCCAGGTAAGGACACACCTGTCTTCTAAGGAGGAGGAGGAGGGTGACCTCACCGCTCTGGGATTTCCTGGGTTCAACCGGCTTCAGGTGCAACACCTGCATGGGGGCGGGGCCAAGCATAGCCATTGGCCGCCTTCTTCCTGATTGGCCCCCATTGGCTGCACAGGGCCTCACCTGGGCACAGGTAAGGAAAGGGGCGGGGCAACCCCCACACCTTTCCCTTCCCTTTTAAAGGGACAAGTCTTGAGTTTCATTCCATTTTAATTGGATTATAATTGAAGTCTTGAGCCTCTTTTGGGATCGAAGAATATCATATATCACAACATCAATAATAGTAATAATAATAATAGGATGTGTGTGTGATATATGTATGTGTGTGTGTCCATATATATTTGGAGAGAGAGAAATAATATATATAATAGTCATAATAGTATAGCAGGAATAGTATATATAATATAAAATAGTAATCGTATATATAATAACATCAATAACAGTAATAGAATATGTGATATATATATATGTATATATATATTACTCATAATAATACTGTAGCAGGAATAGTATATATAATAATATAGTAATCTTATATATAATAACATCAATAATAGTAATAATAATAGGATGTGTATGTGTGTGATATATGTCATAATAGTGTATCAGGAATAGCATATATATAATATAATATAATATAATATAGTAATTGTATATATAATAACATCAATAATAGTAAAATGTGTGTGTGATATATGTATGTGTGTGTATATATATATTTGGAGAGAGAGAAATAATATATATAGTAGTCATAATAGTATAGCAGGAATAGTTTATATAATAATATAAAATAGTAATCATTTATATAATAACATCAATAACAGTAATAATAGAATATGTGTGTAATATATATGTGTGTGTGTGTGTGTATATATATATATATATATTAGTCATAATAATAGTGTAGCAGGAATAGTATATATAATAATATAATATAGTAATTATATATATAAAACAATAATAGTAATAATAATAGGATGTGTGTGTGATATATGTATGTGTGTGTCTATATATGTACATTTGGAAAGAGAGTAATAATATATATAATAATAGTTTTAATAATAGTGTAGCAGGAATAGCATATATAATAATATAATATAGTAATCGTATATATAATAACATATAACATATATAATAGTAATAATAATAGGATGTGTATGTGTGTGATATGTGTGTGTGTATGTATGGAGAGAGAGAGTAATAATATATATATATATATATAATAATAGTTTTAATTATAGTATAGCAGGAATAGTCTATATAATAATATAATATAGTAATCGTATATATAATCCCAATAATAGTAATAGGATGTGTGTGTGTGATATATACATATATATATATATATATATAGAGAGAGAGAAATTATATATATATATATATATATATATATATATATATATTTGTTAGGGGCATCCAACGAGGAAACAAAACTCAAAAAACCCCCAACGAAACTTAACCAAAATTCCCATGCCCATAACACAACCCACAAGGTACAAACATATCTACTCAAAATGAAAAACAACACAACAACACACTCACAAAACGGCAAAACAACAAAACTCAAAAATCCCCCAACGAAACTTAACCAAAATTCCCATGCCCATAACACAACCCACAAGGTACAAACATATCTACTCAAAATGAAAAACAACACAACAACACACTCACAAAACGGCAAAACAACAAAACTCAAAAATCCCCCAACGAAATTTAACCAAAATTCCCATGCCCATAACACAACCCACAAGGTACAAACATATCTACTCAAAATGAAAAACAACACAACAACACACTCACAAAACGGCAAAACAACAAAACTCAAAAAACCCCAATGAAACTTAACCAAAATTCCCATGCCCATAACACAACCCACAAGGTACAAACATATCTACTCAAAATGAAAAACAACATAACAACACACTCACAAAACGGCAAAACAACAAAACTCAAAACCCCAACGAAACTTAACCAAAATTCCCATGCCCATAACACAACGCACAAGGTACAAACATATCTACTCAAAATGAAAAACAACACAACAACACACTCACAAAACGGCAAAACAACAAAACTCACAAACCCCCCAACGAAACTTAACCAAAATTCCCATGCCCATAACACAACCCACAAGGTACAAACATATCTACTCAAAATGAAAAACAACACAACAACACACTCACAAAACGGCAAAACAACAAAACTCAAAAAACCCCAACGAAACTTAACCAAAATTCCCATGCCCATAACACAACCCACAAGGTACAAACATATCTACTCAAAATGAAAAACAACACAACAACACACTCACAAAACGGCAAAACAACAAAACTCACAAACCCCCCAACAAAACTTAACCAAAATTCCCATGCCCATAACACAACCCACAAGGTACAAACATATCTACTCAAAATGAAAAACAACACAACAACACACTCACAAAACGGCAAAACAACAAAACTCAAAAAAACCCCAACGAAACTTAACCAAAATTCCCATGCCCATAACACAACCCACAAGGTACAAACATATCTACTCAAAATGAAAAACAACACAACAACACACTCACAAAACGGCAAAACAACAAAACTCAAGAAAACCCCCAACGAAACTTAACCAAAATTCCCATGCCCATAACACAACCCACAAGGTACAAACATATCTACTCAAAATGAAAAACAACACAACAACACACTCACAAAACGGCAAAAGGATAAAACTCTAAAAAAACCAACAAAACTTAACCAAAATTCCCATGCTCATAACACAACCCACAAGGTACAAACATATCTACTCAAAATGAAAAACAACACAACAACACACTCACAAAACGGCAAAACAACTGAGCATGCGCATTGGCGCCCAGCCGCAAGTTCCCTGGCGCGCGCACACCTTCCGGCCAACGTTCCCTCTGCGGAAGCCATGCCCACTCCAAGCCCCGCCGCGCCGCTTCCCGCACACAACCACCCTGCCGCACGCACACACACAACCCCATGCTCCATCACTCCCCCCACCGCCGCACACACACGCACCCCCACTCCCCCCGCCGCCGCACACACACACGCAACCCCACGCTCCATCACTCCCCCCCGCCGCACACACATGCAACCCCACTCCCCCCGCACACACACACACACCCCCACACTCCATCACTCCCCCCGCCGCCGCACACACACACGCAACCCCACGCTCCATCACTCCCCCCGCCGCCGCACACACACACGCAACCCCACGCTCCATCACTCCCCCCGCTGCCACACACACACACGCAACCCCACGCTCCATCACTCCCCCCGCCGCCGCACACACTACCCCCGCTGCCGCACGCACACACGCAACCCCACCCCCCCGCCGCCGCACACACACGCAACCCCACGCTCCATCACTCCCCCCCGCTGCCGCACACACACACGCAACCCCACGGCCCCCCGCCGCCGCACACACACACGCAACCCCACGCTCCATCACTCCCCCCGCCGCCGCACACACACCCACAACCCCACGCTCCATCACTCCCCCCCGCTGCCGCACGCACACACACGCAACCCCACTCCCCCCCCGCCCGCACACACACACACGCAACCCCACGCTCCATCACTCCCCCCCGCCGCCGCACACCCCCACGCACCTCCCCCCGCCGCCGCACACACACACACAACCCCACGCTCCATCACTCCCCCGCCCCAATCTTACCTCCTTTTACTTCACGCCACCTCCAAACCCCACCCCGCCCCTTCCCGCCCTGTCAAAATCTAGGAAAGACAGGAAGGAAGGAAAGAAGGAAGAAAGAGAAAGGGAGGTAAAGAAAAAGGGGGAAGGAAGGAAAGTTAGAGAAAGAAGGAAGAAGAAAAGGAAAGAAAAGGAAAGATGGAAGGAAAGAAAGAAAAGAGAGACAGCAGAAAGAAAAAGGGGGAAGGAAAGAGATAGAGAAAGAAGAGGAGAAGGAAAGATGGGAGGGAAGGAAGGAAGGAAGGAAGGAGGGAAAGAGGGAAGATTGGCCACAGCAACACGTGGCGGGTAAAGGTTGTTATTATTATTATTATTATTATTATTATTATTATTATTATTATTATTATTATGCTATTGTTCCTCTGAGACCCTTTTAGGGGGAATGGGAGAGGTGTCAGGTCCCAGAGGCAATGCATTGCATTATTGTTATTGTTATGATGGTGGTGAAATAAAAGGAAATAAAAAGAGAAAGAAGGAAGCAAACAGGGAGGGAAGAAAGGCAAAGGAAGAAAGGGGGAGGGAATGAAGGAAAGAGAGAAGGATGAAACCAAGTAGTGAAAGAAGGAAAGAAAGAAAGAAAGAAAGAAAGAAAGAAAGAAAGAAAGAAAGAAAGAAAGAAAGAAAGAGGTAGAGAAGGAAGAAAGGAGAGAAAGGGGGAGGAAAAGGGGGAAGGAATAGGTTCATAAGAGTCCAGATATCTACCTCAACTTTGATAAGTTTTACTATAGGCCACAGCAACACGTGGCAGGGCACAGCTAGTGTGTATATATATATATATATATATATAGTCATAATAATAACGTAGCAGGAATAGTATATATAATATAATATAGTAATCATATATATAATAACATCAATAATAGTAATAATAATAGGATGTGTATGTGTGTGATATATGTGTGTGTGTATATGTATGGAGAGAGAGTAATAATATATATAATAATAGCTTTAATAATAGTATAGCAGGAATAGTCTATATAATAATATAATATAGTAATCGTATATATAATCCCAATAATAGTAATAGGATGTGTGTGTGTGATATATATATATATATAGAGAGAGAGAGAGACAGAGAGAGAGAGAGGAATTATATATATATATATATATATATATATATATATATATATATATATATATATAAGTCATAATAATAGTGTAGCAGGAATAGTATATATAATAATGTTGTTGATTTGTTCAGTCGTCTCCGACTCTTCGTGACCTCATGGACCAGCCCACGCCAGAGCTCCCTGTCGGCCGTCACCACCCCCAGCTCCTTCAAGGTCAGTCCAGTCACTTCAAGGTCACTATTATATATAATAATATAATATAGTAATTGTATATATAATAACATCATCAACAACAATAGTAATAATAATAGGATGTGTGTGTGTCAGATACACACACACACACACACACACAATAGTCATAATAATAGTGTAGCAGGAATAGTATATATAATAATATAATATAGTAATTGTATACATAATAACATCAATAATAGTAATAATAATAGGATTTGTATGTGTGTGATATATGTATATGTGGTTGTGTATATGTATGGAGAGAGAGTAATAATATATATATAATAATTGTTTTAATAATAGTATAGCAGGATAGTCTATATAATAATATCATATAGTAATCTCATATATATATATGTGTGTGTGTGTATATATATATATATAATAATAACACCAATAATAGTAATAATAATAGGATGTGTGTGAGAGAGAGAGAGAGACAGAGAAATAATACATATATATATAATAATAGTTTTAATAATAGTATAGCAGGAATAGTCTATACAATAATATAATATAGTAATCATATATATAATAACACCAATAATAGTAATAATAGATGTATGATATATATATATATATATATATATAGAGAGAGAGAGAGAGAGAGAGAGAGAGAAATTATATAGTCATAACAATAATGTAGCAGGAATAATATATATAATAATATAATATAGTAATTGTATATATAATAACATCAATAATAATCATAATAGTATGTGTGTGAGAGATATAATAATAATAATAATAATAATAATAACAACAACAATGACAACAACAAAGCAGATAGGATTGATGATAGACAATGGGATTTGCAGTACCTTCTCCCACTTCCGCGGACCACTGTGACCCTCACAAATGACAGGCCTGGACCAAACTTGGACCACAAAACCCACACAGCCAGCAGAACACACATGAGGGATTTGGGGAACTGACCCACCCGTATGGAAATTGTAGTTCACCCTGCATACAGAGTACTCTGAACCCCACCACTGATCGATCTGACCCCAACTTCAAACACAGATCCCTGGTGACCAACTGAACATACTGGAGCTGTTTGAGGGGGGAGCGACCTACTCACGTGGGACTTGTAGTTCACTCTGCATCCAGAGCACTCTGAATCCCCTCAGGAACGGATCTGGACCAAACTCGGCACACAGACCCAACATGCCCAACTGTGAATACAGGCGGAGTTTGGGGGTGATTGCCCTGGGAATCTGGGAGTTGTAGTTCCCCTGCATCCAGATGAACTGTGACCCCTACCGACAATGGACTGGGACGAAACTTGGCATAGAGAAGCTCTGTGACCGAATGAACATACTGCTGGGGTTTATGGGAATTGACCTTGATTTTGGGAGTTGTAGTTCACCTGCATCCAGAGAGCACTGAACCAAGCTTACGTCGGATCTGGACCACACTTGGGACACAGACCCAACATGGGCAGCTGTGCATACAGGCCTAGTTTGGGGAGGATTGACCCAGTTTTGGGAATTGTAGTTCACCCACATCGTTATGCATTTTCTAATGGGAGGAGTCATAAACAACAAAATCAAAGACTGGCTTTCTTTCTAATAAATAGTGTTACTAATTAAATGATATGACCTAACAACCCTTTTCCCAGTGGTTCTCAACCTTCCTAATGCTGCGACCCCTTAACGCAGTTCCTCATGTTGTGATGACCCCCAACCACAACATTATTTTCATGACAACTACACAACTGTAATTTTGCTCCTGTTATGAATCATAATGTAAATATCTGATATGAAGGATGTATTTTCATTCACTAGACCAAATGTGGCAGAAATATCCGATGCACCCAAATGTGAATACTGGCGTTTTGGTTTTTTTTGGGGGGGGGTTGATTTTGTCATTTGGGAGTTGTTGTTGTTGGGATTTATAGTTCACCTACAATCAAAGAGCTTTCCGAACTCCATCAACGATGGCATTGAAACAAACTTGGCACACAGAACTCCCACGACCAACAGAAAATGACTGGAAGGGTTTGGTGGAGCATTGACCTTGAGTTTGGGAGTTGTAGTTCACCTACATCCAGAGAGCACTGTGGACTCAAACAATGATGGATCTGGACCAAACTTGGCACAAATACTCAATATGCCCAAATGTGAACGCTGGTGGAGTTTGGGGGAAATAGACCTTGACATTTGAGAGTTGTTGTTGCTGGGATTTATAGTTCACCTACATTCAAAGAGCATTCTGAAACCTACCAACGATAGAATTGGGCCAAACTTCCCACACAGAACCCCCATGACCAACAGAAAATATTGTGTTTTCTGGTGGTCTTTGGCGACCCCTCTGCCATCCCCTCGTGACCCACCCAGGGGTCCCGACCCCCAGGTTGAGAAACACTGCCTTTTTCAAATAACCGGACATGGCTGGGTCCCCAAGCTAGTAAATAATTTTAAAAACCTTCAATAAATAAGACAAAGACGCATCTCAGATCCAGAGCCATTCATTTACAAAATAGGTCAATTAGTATTTTATACAGATATATATATATATATATATAGAGAGAGAGCGATAATTATAATATGTACACCATGCGGTTGCGTCGCCTTGAGTCGAGACGGAAGGTGTCCGCACTGCGTTTCAATATAACGCTTCGATCCCACTTTAAAATCCCAGGAATATGTCGAGTGGAATGGCAACCACAGCGCAGGAGGGACTCCTCTTCAATCGAGCGGATCAGGAGGTGCCTGTGTTCCGTCCGGGCCAGGTCTTGCTCCCGTTTTGCATTCTTGAACTCGAAGAAGCAAACGGGTGGAGAAGAATGGCTCCGGGGTCTTGGCACTCAGCGACTTCCATCAGGTCGACCCTTCTTTCCTTGCGTTAGGATTCATAGGTTCATGCAACAGGCCCGCTTTCCCGGTTCGGAGGGCGGTCCGGAAGCAGCAGCATTGGGGTTTTCGGCCGAAAGCTGGACCGCCTCCTCCACGGGGCTCTTCTGCTTCTGCTTCCGCACCTTGTTGTAAATGTCTGCAAAAGAAAAACGCACACTGCAGCTCCCGATAGAGCTAAGGCTCCTGATCCGGGCCCTGTAATCTTCCATTCCATTCCATTATTTGTGGTTGTCCGGTTATATTTAATTTTATTTATCATTTACTTTATTATAGTTACGAATTTACTTGTGGGATTAGGCAGGGTTAAAAAAACTCTAAAATTACAACAGCAAAACAGCAGAGAGGAAACAACCAGGCACATCTTAACACCTCTCAACAAAAGATTCCCCCAGGCTCAGCCAGGCCTTCAAATGCTAATGAAGGTGGTCAGTTGAAACATTCACACCTAGCTCCAGCAGACAAGAGTCCTTTGTCCTATCCTGGTCATTCCAGATACATAGACCCATTTTCCTATTTCCAACAGACCTCACTAGGATGCTTGCCATAGATGCAGGCAAAACGTCAGGAGAGAATGCCTCTATAACATGGCCATAGAGCCCGAAAAAACCCACAAGAACTTAGGCAGGGTTGCTTATTTTGTCTTTGTTTGATGTGTTATGGCATTGAATGTTTGCCATTTTTTCTTGTAAGCTGCCCTGAGTTCCTTTGGAGAGATAGGGTGGAATATAAATAAATTATTATTATTATTGTTATTATTATTTTATTATATGATACAGATAACATACACACGTTTATATTATATTATATTATATTATATTATATTACATTATTTTGCATTGCAGCTCCTGGTGGTGCAGTGGGTTAAACCACTGAGCTGCTGAACTTGCTGACCAAGTTAAAACTGGGGAGCAGGATGAGCTCCCGCAGTTAGTCCCAGCTTCTGCCCACCTAGCAGTTGGGCATCATATTATATTATATTACATTACTTTATATTATATGAGTCGCCTAAGGGCTGAGAAGAGCGGTATACAAATAAAGTAAATAAATAATAAATAAATATATTGAGAGCCTTCTCTGGAAAGGCTCCCAAATTCCTAAACTTTGAAAAAGAGCATCCCTCCTATTATTGTTATTATTATTATTATTATTATTATTATTGTTATTTGACTGACACAAAAACACAGTATGTCACAGCAAATGACATATATAATACAAATGATCTATATACTGGATTTGTTATTGTTATTGTTGTTGTTGTTATAATTATTACGTTGTTATTTTATATTTGTATTTCTATTATATTACATATTGTTATTCTATTTATATTTTTGTTTCATTATTTTATTTATTTTATTATTATTATATTATTTGACGTTATATTGTTTTTACTCTAATACTAATTTATCTATGTTCTTATATTACATTTTTACATATTGTTATTATATTTATATTATGTCATTATTTTATTTATTTTATTATAACATTATTATTTTACATTATATTGTTTTTATTCTAATACTAATTTATCTATATTCTTATATTACATTATTATATGTCGTTATTATATTTATATTATTGTATTACATACTGTTATTATATTTATATTATTGTTTCATTATTTTATTTATTTTATTATTATTATATTATTTGACGTTATATTGTTTTTATTCTAATACTAATTTACCTATATTCTTATATTACATTATTACATATTATTATATTTATATTATTATTTCACTATTTTATGTATAGTCTTATTTTATTATTACATAATATTATATATAATAATAGTAGTAGTAATAATAATAATAAATAATAGATACATCGCCGCTTTGAGTCTCCTTCGG